CTTAAAATTTATGTTGTGCCCCCAAATAGTTTGTACATAGTGGACCAATAGATATATAAGCAAGGTGCATCCTTGATAATATAACAAGAAATAAGCAGAATGAGGGAAATCTTCCAGATTAGGGAGCTTCCAAAACTTCCTGGAATAATTCTGTTATCATTTAATTCCATGTCCTGTGGAACTTTTTGAAGCCTCCTCTTTTAATGAGCCAGTTAGACTTTAGAACACTGATGACTGTTGATTTCCTTGGCAAAGGCCAAGCTAATCCTATTCCCTGGGTCTCTGGAATTTGCCCAGTCGGCTATTCCCAAGAGTATGAGCAGGCCCTGTGATCTGGGTGGGACTTCACCGAACTGACCGATGTGTTTCACTTTCTGCAACCTCCGACTTCCTTCAGGTTGTCTTCCTCCAACCCCCTGGGAAATGACTTCCTTGGTTTGGCACCTCCATCCATCATCTTTGTGACTCTCTCTAAATAATTGGGTAGGGACATGTGAATAATTGTATCGAGGACGCTAAGAGCTTGGGGATTGTTCAGTTTTGCCATTGTCCGGTGTAGAGTGAGCAAACACAGAAGCAGGAAAAGAGAATTCCAAGACTGGCAAGAGAGAGGGATGGGGGTGAGACATAAAGGAGATCACTGTGTGGAGAGAAGCAGCAGTGAGCCCATGGACACAGCAGTGGAGTAGCACCCAAACCCTGAGGCAGAATAGCAGGATTCTTCCCCCACAAAACAAAGTGAAGTGGAGTACACTCATGCAGGAGGCTGGCTTAGAGAGTAGGGTGCTCTCAGTATTTATCAGCCCTAAGGGAGCCACGTGTGGGAGAAAGATGAGGCTTTCTACTCCTGTAAATATGAGGCTTTCTACTCCTGTAAATATTTAGTCTCAGAAACACAGGGGCAGTTATACTCAGTCCTACAGAGTCGCTCCGAAGTCTGAATTGATTCCATGGCAGTGAGTTAAAGGAGCTCTTTGCCAAGAAGGAAAGAAGTCAAGGGACCAGAGAGAGCCATGCTTGTCAGCATGGCTGAGAAGTAATGTTGTAGACAAAAAGACTGTCTTTTTAATACTTGCTGATCTTGACTTAGGTACCCTAAGGTACCCTGTCGTAACTTTTCTTTTAAATCCTCATAAATCTATTGTCTGTCCTTCTGGTATGGATAGGCTAGTGGGGTTAAAACAGGAAAATGAGGTGTGCTGGGCCGATGTGTCAGTGAGCCCTACCTCAAGGGCTGGCTGTAGAATTGGTCTCCCCACACCCTTGAATGGCGGTGCTGGGGAAGATCACTGAAAGTCCCATGGACTGCCAAAAGAACAAACATATCTGCCTTGGAAGGAGTACAACCAGAATGCTCCTTAGAAACAAGGCTGGTGACACTTCATTTCACATACTTTGGGCAAGCTCTCAAGAGAGACGAGTCCCTGAAGGACAGTGGACAAGTCAGGGCAGTGCATAAGCTAGAAGCCCCTAACAACATGGACAGAGACAGTGACTGCAACAATGAGCTCGGAGAGGAGGACTATGATGAGGATGGTACCGGCCTGGTCAGTGTTTCGTGCTGTTGTACAAAGGGTCACTATGATTGGGAATTGGCTCAATAGCCCCTAACCACAGCAACCACAAAGACAACTTCTTTGTACAGCCAGAACAGTTCAGACATGCCCCCATCCAGGTCCTTATAATACCACCCCCCAAAAAAGAAAACTCTCTAACATATTAGTTTCTTTGTATTTTCTGCTTCTAAGAAATGTACATATTTCCAATTCATCAAGACGATATGTAATGATTTATTAAGACAATCTGTAGTGGTGGTTTTAAAACAAAAGGATTTTTTTTTTGCTGTAAAGTATTAGGTTATTCATTTCATTTACATTTATCTTTTCTGGACCCAGAGCTTTTTAAAAATAAATTATATTTTCTAAAGTGCAGAGCCAAGTAATTAATGCACATTGTTAAAAGCAAAACTATAACCATCGCCTAACATGAAATGATAAAACTTACCAAGGTTTTTTTCTTTAGAAAAAGGAAGAGTGGGAATTTTACATTATTTTATGCCTGATCAGAATGCAGCCTCTCATTTGACTATTGTTACAACAATGGCCCTTAAAAAGTGCCCATCAACTCTAGTCAGGGGCTTGCAAGCAACATTTCAATATAACCTAAGTGATTGGACTTCCAATTCTCAGCCTTATTCCTACCCTGACTCCCCTTTCAAGCTTTGTGTCTTCTCCTCGTGTAGTGTCTAAGGTGCAAGCCGGAAAATGCTCTCACAGTGGCTTCTTTCACTGCACCTATAGGCTGACATGTCATTTCTTCAAAGTTGCCTCAATTGGCTTCAAACCCCAGCCTTGAGATGCTCTTGTTTCAGTTCCTTTAAGAGGTTTTTATTGTTACGTGCTTACTTTTATTTAAATACCATTTAAAACAAGTCTAATAAATTCATTAAGTTAAATATTAACTGACTGAATGTCTTTCTTTACCCACTAGATTGGACTTACCCCTGAGTTACGAATCATGTCTAGCTTTTCCATTTCTAGAATGGAAATCATTGGGTGGATGGTTGATTGTGCAATTACCATTCTATGAAATCCTCGAACGACTAAACTGAAAATAAACTTTGAATATAAACTGTTGAAATGTAGGTCTAATACTGAAATTTAGGTCTTTTCACTTGATGTCCTGTATTTTCCAATTTCACAATCTGGCATGTTGTTGGAAAAGGAAAGCATAGGTTGAAATTGAGGCAACGATTCCTTATGCCTATGAAGTTAAAAAAGGAGACAGAGGTTATCTCAATGATGTAAAAAGCCAAAACCAAGACAATAAACAATAAATGTCTCATTGCCATTTTGATATTAGCCCTTAACTTGTTATATTAGACCTTAAATTGAAGAGTATATTCTGGGGATTGATTTTACTTGATGAGGCAGATCTTATTCATATAATTTTAGCTATACAATGAATAAGTAGATCTGCTAAAATTCCCATTCTTCGGCATTCTCTAAGGAGCTCTAGTGGTGTAGCAGTTTAAGTATTTGGCTGCTAACCTTAAGATTGGTTCCTCAAATCCACCAGTTATTCTGCAAGAGAATGATGAGGCTGTTGGCAAGTTCTGAAATTTGACATAGATAGAATACCATGATTTATAATCAACTCCATGGCAG